CCACACTGTGGCTACATTAATTAACCTATTCAAACACTGCCAACAAAGGTGATTTATTTCCATAGATTACAGCAATACTTCAAAATAAATTGCGTTACATATTAACTTAAGGTCACATATTGAGTTTTCAGGATTCTGATTTATACACAGTAAACAATAATAATAAAAAATACTTCTTTACTGTCAAAGCCTGAGCTATTATCGATTATCGGGAACTATTTTTTGCAGGGAACTATTTTTTGCAGATAAGAACATAAGAACATAAGAACGAAGGAACACTGCAGAAGGCCTACTGGCCCATGCGAGGCAGGTCCAAGTCTCCTACCGGCTTAAGCCAATGCACCCAACCTAGTCAGGTCAGGTCACATTGACTTAAGGGAGGAACACGGCAACCGACCTGTTAGCACAAGCTATCAGGTCTAACTCACACCCACCCACATCTACTCAGTATTTATCCAACCTATTTTTTAAAGCTACACAACGTTCTGGCCCTATAACGGTACTTGGGAGTTTGTTCCACTCATCCACAAAATCTATTACCAAACCAGTACCTTCCTATATCCTTCCTGAATCTGAATTTTTCCAACTTAAAAACCATTGCTGCGAGTCCTGTCTAGGCTAGATATTTTTCGCACACTATTTACATCCCCTTTATTATTCCTGTCTTCCATTTATACACCTCAACATATCCCCCCTAATTCTACGTCTTTCTAGAGAGTGCAGTTTCAGGGCCCTTAGTCTATCCTCATAGGGAAGGTTTCTGATACATGGGATCAACTTTGTATCCTCCTTTGTACATTTTCCAGAGAATTTATATCCATTCTGTAATTTCGGTGACCAAAACTGTCAGCATAATCTAAATGAGGCCTAACCAAGGATGTATAGAGTTGAAGAACAACCTGAGGACTCCTATTATTTATGCTTCTTGATATGAAGCCAAGGATTCTATTAGCTTTATTGCGAACACTTATGCACTGTTGTCTTGGTTTCAGATTACTGCTAACCAGAACTCCTAAATCTTTTTCGCAATCCGTATATTAAGATCTACATTATTTAGTTTATATGTGGCATGGTTATTGTCCTGTCCAACATTTAGAACTTTGCATTTGTCTATATTAAACTGCATCTGCCACTTCCTCCGACCACTGCATCAGTCTATTCAAATCTTCCTGGAGTGCTCGAATGTCCTCGTCAGAATGAATTCGACGGCCTATTTTGGTGTCATCGGCAAACTTGCCGATGTCGCTCTTTATGCCCTCATCTATGTCGTTTATGTAGATTGTGAACAGCAGGGGGCCCAACACTGACCCCTGTGGAACACCGCTCGTGACGCTTCCCCACTCTGATTTCTCCCCATTTATGCAAACTCTCTGCTGCCTATTTGTCAACCATGCCTCTATCCAGGAAAAAAATTCTCCTCCTATTCCATGTGCTTTAATTTTCCTCAATAGTCTCTGATGTGGGACCCTGTCAAAAGCCTTACTGAAGTCCATATACACAATATCAGATTCATTACCATGATCTACCTCCTCAAATACCTTAGTGAAAAAAGTTAATAAATTCGTAAGGCAGGAACGCCCCTTTGTAAAACCATGCTGAGATTCGTTGATTAATTTATGCTTTTCAAGATGGCTACGAACTGCCTCGGCAATTATTGATTCCATAAATTTTCCCACTATGGAGGTTAGGCTTATTGGTCTATAGTTCGAAGCTAAGGACCTGTCACCTGTTTTGAAAATAGGTATCACATTTGCCATTTTCCACTTATCTGGCACCATGCCAGTTTGTAGTGATATGTTGAAAAGATTAGCCAAAGGTGTGCTAAGCTCCTCTTTACATTCCTTTAGAACCCTTGCATACAGTTCATCAGGGCCTGGGGATTTGTTAGGTTTTAATTTATCTATTTGCCTAAGGACCATGTCACTTGTGACCCTAATAGTGCACAGTTTATTATCGTCCTGTTCTACATAATTTATCATTACTGGAATATCGCTGGTATCCTCCTGTGTAAAAACTGAGAGGAAGTATGTGTTAAAAATTCTACACATTTCCTTATCACTGTCAGTGAGCTGACCCGAGGAACTTTTGAGTGGGCCTATCTTGTCCCTGATCTTACTTCTGTATACCTGAAAGAATCCTTTTGGGTTAGTCTTCGATTCTTTTGCAACTTTAACCTCATAATCTCTTTTTGCTTTTCTAATTCCCTTTTTTATTTCTCTCTTTAACTGAATATATCGATTTCTTAATTGCCCCTCTCCTCTTTTGATTTGCCTATATATGCCTCTCTTTTGACCAATCAGATATTTTAATCTATTGTTCATCCATTTAGGATCATTTTGTTTGATCTGATTTCCCTATTTGGAACATAATTTGACTGAGCAGCTAGAACTATGCCCTGGAAAGCATCATATCGGCAACCATCACCACCTACTGACCCTTAGTCAGGTCATTCCAGTTCAGCCCACCTAAGTAATTTTTCAGTCCTATGAAATCAGCCAAGCGAAAGTCAGGGACGGAGACTTGATTGCCATTATTAGGGGAATTCCATGATATATTAAAACTGAGTGATTTGTGATCACTCCCCAAGCTCATCATTAACCTCAAGATTATTAATTAGTGTTTCCCTACTGGCAAGAACCAAGTCAAGGAGGTTATTTCCCCTAGTTGGCTCTGTCACAAACTGTTTTAAAAAACTATCCTGGATCGTATCAAGAAAGTCACCCGACTCTAAATTTCCTGTCAAATTGCTCCAGTCAATCTGTCTATAGTTGAAATCTCCCATTAGCACAACATTTTCGTATGTAGATGCCTTACGAATTTCGTCCCATAGAAGTTACTGCACTCCCTATCAAGATTTGGGGCCCTGTAAATCACACCAAAATTAGTTTTTCTCGGCCCTCGAGAAGCTGTAACGAAACAGATTCAGTGGCTGACGCTTCTAATTTAATATCTTGTCTAACACAACAATTTAAATTGTCTCTGACATACATCGCTACTCCACCACCTTTCCTGTTGACCCTGTCAGTGTGGAATAATTTATTAGCCTTGTATGTGACATTCAGAGGGCATCTCTCTATCTTTCAGATTGAGCCAGGTCTCTGTTATAGCAATAATATCTATGTTTCCTGCACTTGCAATTAATCTTAGCTCATCTATCTTATTTCTAACACTCCTGCTATTAGTATAGTAAACCTTAAGGGAGCTAGTCCCTTGCTGCCCTCTGCTGTCCCCTTTGTTTGCTGACCTGTTCTATTGTCTTTATTTATAACTTCATGCTGAATGCCTTTTATACATTTACTGTTTCCAACCCTAGTGTTGCAACCTGCTTGTTTCCCACACACACCCATACCTCTATCTTCCATCAGTTTAAAATCATAGGCATTTCACCAATGGCCTTCTCAATCGAGTCTGCAAGTGCTACCACCCTGACCCAGAGAGATGTACCCCATCCCTTGCATACATATCATGTTTGCCATAAAAGTTGTTCCAGTTGTCAATGAATGGGATTGCAAGTTCCTTGCAGTATCTGTCTAGCCAGCAATTTACACTAATTGCCCTAGACAACCATTCATTTTCCTACTCCCCTTCTAGGCAAGATGCTACATTATGATTGGGATCCCTCCCTTAGACTTAATGAAATCTATAGCTGACCTGTACTTATCTAGCAGCTCTTCTCTCCTACCCTTCCCAATATCATTTCCACCAGCACTGTGACAGATAATGGGCTTGTTCCCATTACCTGACATATTATCCAGCCTGTTGACAATGTCCCCAACACCAGCTCCAGGGAAGCACACTCTATCTCTCATCTTCTTATTCCTATTACAAAAAGCACGGTCAATATATCTTACCTGAGAGTCACCAACCACAAGAATGCGCTTACCTTCATTAGCAGGGGCAGTAGTACCCTTACCTTCACTGGCCACTGAAGTACATTCATCCTGGAGAACAGAGAAGCGATTTCCTACCTTCAGATCTTCACTCTAACTTTCCTTATTCTGATGCGCCTCCCATTACTGTGAACAACTCGCCACTTGTAGCAGGTGCTGGGCTGCACCTCACTGCTGGTAGCCGTTGCTACCTCCCCAACTACAGCCTCCTTACAGCGAGAGACAGACTGCACCTCACTGCTAGAAGTCTCATTCCCCACAACTCCAGCCACCTCACACTCTCTCCCAGACCCATTGAGGTGGACCTTCAGCCTCCTAATCTCCTCCTGGAGAAGCCAGCCCTTTCCTCCTTCAACTCTCCAACCTCAGTTTTTAAAACACTGCAGAAGCAAGCCATGCTTTGTAACCGTCCACGCTAATCCCCAAAGCAGCTCGACGCTAATCCCCAAAGCAGCTCGATACTGTATTGTATCGGTGGTCCTGTGACCCTGGTCACTCTAAAATGTCATAATGTTGGCATACTGTCTTTTTCAACAACCTGTCGGTGTCACGTGCCATTTGTACCAATTATTACATTCATAGCGAAGCACTAAACCCACAGAGGATCATACGGCGCCTAAGGAATGAGAGGCTGTCAGATTTGTTCCGAGGAAGGGGAGAGTAGCTCCTAGTTTTTTAATCGAGAGCCATTTACAAACAAATGCACCACTAATGAAATGTGACATCAGCTCCCGGAGACAAAGCTCTTGATTACATAAGAACATAAGAAAGAAGTAACACTGCAGCAGGCCTACTGACCCAGAGATCTGTTAGCCCAAGATACCAGTCAAGCACAATGAGTCTTATTTCCATTGGGATCCATAGGTCCTATTCCGGGAAGCCTGGTCATGGACCGGGCCGCGGGGGCGCTGATTCCTGGAATACCCTCCCGGTAGATTCCAGGTAATGCCCCTAGGATGCCACCAGCAATCTGCTAGCACCTGAGTCCCGTAGCTCATCACTCAGATCATACTGAGGTTCGGGGATCGTTCCCCCGGTACGGCTGTAAACATAGGACGTTTTTCCATAAGACACCTACTGTCCCTGTTCACTCATTAGTAAAATAGGTACCTGGTGTTAGTCGACCGGTGTGGGTTGCGTCGCTAAACCCGTAGGTGGCATCCAGCGCCTGGGGGGAATGAGAAGCATTCAGGTTTGATCCAAAGAAGGGGAACAGAGGTTCAATTCCTATCATAAAAAGCCCTCCCCCCACCGGTTTCAAGGAGCCTCTGGGAAATTAGGTTAGATCCGAGGACAGGGGAAGATAGCCACAATTCCCTTGCTAGAGCCTCCTCCACCAGCGTCTAAATACCACCAACCCTCACCCGCCATAAAGGGAATGAACTTGCTAAAAAAAAAAAAAAACATAATTTGGCGCACATGTGCTATAGGGCGGTGACCTGAGCTATATAAACACGACTTGAAACCACGACAGCCTTGATGTCACTCATAGAAATCTTTAGGCTCCAGATTCCCGGGAGATTTACAGCATATCCGAAAAAAAGTTTTATTATAATTATCATAATTATTATAATTATAATTATTTTCTTTCCTTCGTCGTGGCCTTTTTCTTCTTCTTCTTCTTCTTCTTCTTCTTCTTCTTCTTCTTCTTCTTCTTATTATTATTATTATTATTATTATTATTATTATTATTATTATTATTATATGCATAGGGAGGCACTAACTCTAAAAGGGGGTCGTTTAACCCATGGGGAATGGGATGCAATCACGTTTGATCCAAGTAAAAGGAAGGGTGCTCCCATTCCCGGCACAGAGAGCTCTTCACCAGCATGAAGACGCCCTGAAGGAACAGCAGATCCCAAACAAGTTTTTTCCTAAACGAGTCAATTCCTAAAAGCCTGGAGGAAATGCTCGCTCAGCAAGTTTTTATTAGATTATACATATTTTTATTGCTTTTACAACGGTCTTGAGGGGTATACAGGAATTGGGATTATAAGCGTGTGTATACATATGCAAAACAACCACTGTGAAAAAATAGCGATAACCCAAAGAAATCAGTTTCTATTTTTGGGTCCTTAAACCCGTAGGGGTCATATGATATTAAAAGTAAGCTCTAAACCCGTAAGGGAAACAGCGCTTCAAGCGCCATAGTGTAAATTGAAGACTGGAATCTTTATTGGGGACACGTTTAGCCACACAGTGGCTTTCGTCAGTCCAATACAGGAACGGTAGAAATGGAGGAGGTTGACGTAATCAGTCCCTCAGCCTGGAGTCGATATGTGCGGCCAGCAGTAACAGCCTGGTTGATCAGGCCCTGGTCCACCAGGAGGCCAGGTCATGGACCGGGTCACGGGGGCGTTGACCCCCGGGATACCCTCCAGGTAGACCATCAAGATAAGTCTGAACACATCGGTTCAAGACTGAGGGACTGATCACCTCAAACTCCTCCATTTCTACCGTTCTTGTATTGGACTGATGAAGCCAGTGTGGCGAAACGTTTCCTCAATAAAAATGATACATGAGTGTCTCATTTTTCACCTTGTCGGTTTTTTGGGGGGTTTTCAAACCCAATTTTGGGTTTTCAAAACCATTTTTGGGTTTTCAAAACCAATTTTTGGGTTTTCAAAACCAATTTTTGGGTTTTCAAATCCAATTTTGCGTTTTTAAAACCAACTTTGCGTTTTCAAAACCATTTTTTAGTTTTCAAAACCATTTTTGGGGGTTTCAAAACCATTTTTGGGTTTTCAAAACCATTTTTGGGGTTTCAAAACCAATTTTTGGGTTTTCAAAACCAATTTTTGGGTTTTCAAAACCAATTTTTGGGTTTTCAAAACCAATTTTTGGGTTTTCAAAACCATTTATCAGTGTAAATTTCCTAGGATTACCCCCTCCCCCCAATGTCTGATTTTATTTCCACTGGGTCCTTGGAAAGGTTAAATCAGATCCAGTTCCATGGATCAAGAGCCCCTCACCGGCGTCAAGGAATCTCCTGTTTTTTTTTTTTAGGAGTAAATTTTAGGACTCACCTTTAAATTAAGACCCACATGGAAGTCACTCTTCAAAATATAAATTATCCTTCGATGTTTCTCAATAATATAAATTTCTACCACCAACAGAGTCTGTTCCTAAAGTTCATTAAACCTTAAAAATCACTCGATTTGTATACACAAGATTTTTTTTTAAGAGTAATGAGAGGAGGAGAAGCGGAGTACACCCTCCCGCACCAGCGCCTGGAGACACACTGAAGCTGCCTCACTGTTGCTGCCAGGATGACGCTGCTGCCCCGGGTATTGCCATCTTTACTCATAATTTGTCTTAATTTGTTTATATTTATTATTTTTTTCGACTGCCACTGTATTGCCTCAGGTTAGTATGAGAGTTGTCATTGTTGTTGGTAAAATGCCACGGCTTAAACGACATTTTAGACATTCTCTGGAAGACATTGACTTCATGGGTAAGGGTACAGGACGTCGTACAGCATCATTTTGAAGACAGTTTATTATTATTATTATTATACAGTTCTCTATACAGCATTTATTGTAAACTGCTGAAAAAATATAACACTAACTTATGCTTAAAAAATACATTTGAAAGAATCGCAGCTCTCTGTAACATATAAAATTAATAAGTAATTTACATAAATTTATATCATGTACTATATATATACTGCCATGACATCCAAGTGCCATCAAAAACCCATTTTGAATGTGTAAACTTATGTTTACAAAGCCATTTGTACATTGTCCTAAATCCAAACTAGCTTACTAAGCTTAAGTCGTACGTTGGCAGGCCGGCGTTGCGGGTACCCTACTCAAGAGATCGACCAAAAAAAAATTTTTCTTCATTTTTGGACCTTATGGAGAACTTGATGCGCGCTCAAGAAGGTTCCGATGTGGAGGGGGAAAATATTGGAATCTTGCCATCTCATTTCCCCAAACTAGAACCTGAACCTACCCGCATGGACCCCCCCGGCAAATGTTAAACTCAGCGTTTTGCGTACCCTTGATTGAATTATCGTAATCAGATGGGAATTGCATCCGCTTGTCCTAAATAGCATATACGATTTTGTGAAGAAAACATACTAGGTTTGCTTTAATATAAACAGGAAATGACTTAAAAGCAGCAGTGGATAAATTTTGCGCATAGACGTAAGGGCCCGTTGTTGGTGTGCACCTGTGGGGGCACTCACCCCTCATTCCAAAAACCCTACAGTTCCGCATTTTTGTAATTTTACTTACGTGCTTACATAACCAATTCTTCTCTAGGTGGGTTATCTTCTCGCATAGGACAGACTTGTGGTGTGCCTGTGTTCCATCCCTCCTCTTTCCACCCTCTCATCCTCTTATTCTCTTTCCCGCTCCCTCTCTCTCTCTCCTCTCTCTCTCTCTCTCTCTCTCTCTCTCTCTCTCTCTCTCTCTCTCTCTCTCTCTCTCTCTCTCTCTCTCTCTCTCTCTCTCTCTCTCTTCTCTCCCTCTCATTGAAAAAAAATAAGTCAGGTGTTCTGTGGCTCGGTTGGCTACACACTCGCCTCATATACAATGTCTGTGGTTCGATCCCCAGCACGGAAGCAAACGTTAGGCATGTTTACTTACACCTGATGTCCTTATTCACCTAGCAGTAAGTAGGTACGTGGGTGTTACTTACACCTGCTGCGTATCTCATCTAGCAGTAAAAAGTAGATCAACAGAGTTAAATCGGAAGCTGCAATAGTGAAAAGCTCTGTTCCACAAGGCACAGTACTCACCCCCATCCTGTTCCTCATCCTCATATCAGACATAGACAGAGATGTAATCCACAGCACCGTGTCAGCCTCTGCAGACGATGCTAGGATCGGCATGAGGCTGTCATCTGCTGAGGACGCGGTTAACCTCCAAGAAGATATAAACAAGTTTTCCAATGGGCAACGGAAAGCAATATAATATTCAATTAAGACAAATTCCAACTACTCCGTTATGGAAAACTGGAGGAGATAGTAACTAGGACTGAGTATACTACAGACTCTGGCCATACAATAGAGCGGAAAAATAATGTGAGGGACCTGGGAGTGGTAATGTTTGAGGATCTCACTTTCAAGGATCACAACAGTGCCACGATCACAAGTGCAAAGAAAATGATAGGATGGATAATGAGAACGTTCAAAACAAGAGATGCCAAGCCAATGATGATCCTTTTCAAATCACTTGTTCTCTCCAGGCTGGAATACTGCTGTACATTAACATCTCCATTCAAAGCAGGTGAAACTGCAGGTCTAGAGAGTGTACAGATAACCTCTACTGCACATATAAATTCTGTCAAGCACCTTAACTACTGGGAACGCTTGGAAGCACTGACTTGTACTCGCTGGAATGCAGGCGAGAGAGAGATATCATAATCTACACTTGGAAAATCCTGGAAGGAATGGTCCCGAATCTGCACACAGAAATCACTCCCTACAAAAGTAAAAGACTGGGCAGGCGATGCAAAATACCCCCAATGAAAAGTAGGGACGCCATTAGTACACTAAGAGAAAACACCATAAGTGTCCGGGGCCCAAGACTGTTCAACAGCCACCAAGCATAAGGGGAATTACCAATAGGCCCCTGGCTGCCGGATCAGCCGGGTGTGGTTCGTACGTTGGACTACATGCAGCCAGCAGTAACAACCTGGTTGATGAGGCCCTGGTCCACCGGGAGGCCTGGTCGTGGACCGGGCCGCAGGGGCGTTAATCCCCGGAATACTCTCCAGGTAGACCTGGGTGTTAGTAACCATACAACTGCTGCCCCCGTTCACCTAGCAGTAAGTAGGTACCTGGTTGTTAGTCACCTTATATCTGCTGCCCCTGTTCACCTAGCAGTAAGTAGATACCTGTGTGTTAGTCGACTGGTGTGGGTCACAGCCTGGGGACAAAACTGACCTAATATGCGGGAAATGCTCAGCATAACAAGGTACTTTCTATATAGTAGTATGACATTGATGTCAGCTATGGTCTGTATAAGTTGTATCATGTACTGGTAGAAATAAGGATTATTATTATTATTATTATTATTATTATTATTATTATTATTATTATTATTATTATTATTATTATTATTATCATAACCATCACCTATTCCACGATTATCCTAAAATTTTGTATCACCATAAAGAATGGTGTGGTTTTTAATTTTGTTAAAACCCACCTAAAAATACCATGCAGATTTTCAAGGTTCGGCCAGATTAAAAAAAAATTGTCAGATGAAGAAAAAATAATGCATTATACGCTTTTACAAAGGATCATTATAGAGTGATATTACGTAATTCTAGGCCGCGGGGGCTTTGACCCCCGGAACTCTCTCCAGGTAAACTCCAGGTACCTAGGCAAGGACACTTGAATATGTAAACCAGGGATGATACTGTGTAAATGCACTGATAAACACTTCCCAGTGTATATATACTGAAAGATATACATCCCAGTGTATATATACTGAAAGATATACATCAGTGTATATACTATATCTCTGAATACGAATATACATCCCAGTGTATATATACTGAAAGATATACATCCCAGTGTATATATACTGAAAGATATACATCCCAGTGTATATATACTGAAAGATATACATCCCAGTGTATATATACTGAAAGATATACATCCCAGTGTATATATACTGGAAGATATACATCCCAGTGTATATATACTGAAAGATATACATCCCAGTGTATATATACTGGAAGATATACATCCCAGTGTATATATACTGAAAGATATACGTCTCTCAAAGTGCGTAAACTAAGAGATATACATTTCTCAGGGTATATACACTGAAATATACTTCTCAGCGTATATACACGCTGAGATATACATCTCTCAGCGTATATACACACTGAGATATACATCTCTCAGCGTATATACACATGTAGATATACATCTCTCAGCGTATATACACTGAAATATACTTCTCAACGTATATACACACTGAGATATACATCTGTCAGCGTATATACACACTGAGATACACGTCTCACAATTACGTTATCAATGGATGACCCTTACAATAGGATAACAGTTAGGATAACAGATAACCTAGCACGACCCCTGATGATGACTTAGTTAACAGACAGGAGTTATCACAGGTAACTCCCACCTTTAGTGACAGTAATCAGGATAACATCTGTTAGAACAGATAAACACTCACAGGGCCAGGAGCTATGCATCGACCCCTGCAACCATAATTAGGTGAGTTCACAGAGGCTAAGTGTTTTATCGACAAGTGCCTTTCACAAAATGGGAACTAACGTATACGCCAGGTACCTATTTACTGCAAACATTGCAGTAAATAGGTACCTGGGTGTGAGTAAGATAGGATTTTGTTCGGATTTTTAGCCCCGGAGGGTTAGCCACCTAGGTTAACCCAAGGAAGTCACTGCGTCATCGAGGACTGTCTAACTTATTTCCATTGTGGCCGTCAATCTTGTTCCCCAGGATGCAACCCACACCAGTCGAACAACTTCCAGGTACCTACTTGCTTGCTAAGTGAACGGGGACCGTAGGTGTAAGGAAACACGCCTAATGTTTTCAACCCTTGCCGGGGATTGATCCACGGACACTTAACGTGTGAAGGGAGAGTGCTGCCTACCAGGCCACGGCACACCATGACTTTCGCCAGTACGAAGGTACTGACAGGCTCAGTATTGTGGGAGCTAATGAGTGCCGTTGTCTGCCTCAGTAACGTGTTAAAAATGACTGACTGGCATTCAGTGTGTTGTGAGAGCTATTATGCGCTAGCTGTCTGTCTCAGTGACGTGTTTAATTAACCACTGACTGAGAGTCAAGATTCTGTGACAGCTATAAATGTTAGCTGTCTAACTCCTGAAATATATGAATATACAAACGTGCAATACTGTAACCCTGGTCACCATGCTATCTACAAGCCTCGAATTTTAATAATTAATAATAATAATAATAATAATAATAATAATAATAATAATAATAATAATAATAATAATAATAATAATAATAATAATAATAATAATAATAATAATAATAATAATAATAATAATAATAACAATAATAATAAATAATAATAATAATAATATAATAATAATAATAATAATAATAAATAATAATAATAATAATAATAATAATAATAATAATAATAAAATAATAATAATAATAATAATAATAATAATAATAATAATAATAATAATATAATAATAATATTATCTTTATTTACTACAAGTACATGTACGTGGTTTACAGATCATCACAGATATTA